TTCTCTTGTAGTTTCTTATTACCTTCAGACTATAGAATATTCATATATTCATATTTCGTAATATGAACATTTTTTTTTTTACCAGTCCTTGGTGACTTGAGATTTAAACAGATCTGTCTCTACAGGAGACAGAGAAATACCATGTACCAACACGGGAGGCCTTTTTATTCTGCTTGCCTGCACTTAATCTGCAATCCTTCATATAATTTGAACTGTAATATTCATCACTTATACATGCATAAAAGTGCTGGGCTTCAGTTCTTCTGTAACTAAAACAAATTAATACATTTGTCTTCATTAGCTGAACATGCAGAAAATATAGATTCAAATTATTTATTTTTATGCAGGTCAAACTGAGTATTGAAACTAATTTGAGAATTTCAGTGCTCGAGCAGTTAATTTATTGTTGTTGAAATATAAGAATGTGCAGCTAACATATTTGATGAAAGAACCGTGTTTTTATAGTTACCTCAGAAGTATGTGTTGATGCATGATAGCTGACTGAGCATTATATTAAAGAATTGCCAAAACATAGCTTCCAGTAGCTGGTGTGAATAAACTCTCCAGTTGGAGAAGTGGAGTTTCCAGCAGGATTTTGTTGGACAGGTGTAACTAAGTAAAGACATTATTCAAGTTTCAACATTGTCATTATAGTGCTCAGGACCATTTGCTGCATTGTAAAGAATCTTCTTCAAATATAAAGAACAGAATATGTTGCCCCTGTAGTCACTTTAACCTTGTGAATCAAATTGTGGGAAAGAAATCTGCATGGAAAACCAAAAGAAGTCAGCTCCTCTTATTTACTGGAGTGATTAGAAATATATGGAATACACAGGACTGAAGCAGCTGAAGCTTCTAATTGTCTCCTCTGGATGCAATATAAAGTTTTGTAGGAATTCTGAACACTCCAAAGTATGAAGCTATTCCTGTTTGTATAACTTAAATAAAGATTACCCTGATTTAAGATGTCATTACAGCTAGATATACCTAACAGCTAATTCATACCTCAGCCATGATAAAAAAGCTAGTGGCAAAAACACTGACAGGTATTATTTTCAGAATTTCCATTAGAGCTTGGCTTCTGGAAATGCATGGACTGACCCTAGACTTTTCTTGATCTTTCACTAAACTCTTGCCCACCTTCCTGAAAACTATATACATTGTAGGACTGCATGTAATGTTTGTTAGACTCCCTCATTCAACTGTATGGTGCTGTGTAGTGTTAGACAAATATTTCCCAAGGAGGCTATATTTGTAGTCTGCTTGTATGACTGATACATGTTTGCAAGAGGCAAAAACAAGTTTTTTACACTTTTCTACCTTAAAAACTTCTATGTCCACTCAAAGTTTATTAATATAGCACTTGTTTTCAGTAAATGTGGGGAGTGTATTTAAACTGCACATCTGGGATGCATTGTCATTAATTTATTTGTATCTTAGAGGCAAGAATGCTATAATGTTTGAGTATGTCATAAATATAAAAAAACAAAACAAAACATAGGCACAGAGCTAAGAAACTGATAAATGCTTCTGGTTTACTTCACTTAATATCACAAAGAAAATCTTTTATCAAAGCTACATTTCACAGAATCACAGAGTGGTTGAGTTTGCAAGGGATCTCTGGGGATCTTCTCCTCCAAAATTTCTGCTCAAGCAGGGACACCTAGAACTGATTGCCCAGGATGATGTTCAGATGGCTTTTGAGAAGCTCACATCTATCTCCTGGTATGCAATGATATCCTGTTTGTTCTATACTCTTAAATATACATGGCTCATTGCTACTTAGGGAAGTGGCTGGTTTTGCTATTGAGTACATCTTTTCAGTGGCATACTTATAACTTCTCTATATATAACTTCAATACTTCTGGGACTTTGTTAGCTTTATATTTACATCTAAATATATATATGTATTAATGCTTCAGACATAATTTTATACAGATTTTCATTTGTATTTTAAATTTTTGTATGTAAGTTACTGCAAATAGAAATTGTTGCATCCCTCACTGATTTTGTTGATCCTAGAAAGTTATTAAGGTCTCCATAATCTGTGTAACTAGACTGAAGGTACTAAAGTGATTCTTTTAGCAGAAGTTCTCATTCCTGCAAACTGCAACTAGAGAGAGATCAGCAAATAATGTATAGTTTATGTTCTGTAGGCCCTCCAGTCATAGTTTATCATGGAGATAGTTCTTGGAGTCAATGGAGAAAATAAAACACTTGGAACCCAGGGAAGAGAGGAAAGACCAAGTCAGATATTTCCAAACTTGACTTCTCTTTTTCTTCCATAATTAATGGAAAATTATAGTCTCATCTTTTCCCTCTGAGTTTGTGATGGAGTTTTAAATATCTTGTGTCTGTGTCCCTGCTCCTTTTCCCAGGCTCAAGTCATTCCCCATACACAGACTGTTAAGATTTTTTTTTCAACTGCATGTGATTTCATTTATATTTGAAGTTCACATTTCTGCACATGAAAATTAATGTTGTGTGTGCTTTCTATGAATACGACAGCATTTTACTCATTTATTTATTTATTTTGAATTTATGCTTTATTACTTAATTCTTATTTATACTGTATTTATTTTCCACATACATTCACACACATGGTCAGTGAGCCTTCAAGTTTCTGTTCACATTTAATTTTTTCTCCCTGAACAGCAAATTCTCTTCAGTGAAATAGTTTTGTTTTTAAAAAGTACACAAGGAGGACATCACCTTCCCTCAACACCTTATTAAATGGCTTGACTCATCTTGCACTCATGATGGTGAAAATTGGCAATAATTTACAAAACCTTTTACATTTACACGATGACATTTTTCATTTCTGCAAGGAAAACAGCAGTTTTAAGTGTGTAATCTGTATGCTGTGTCTATTGTCTCTCTCTCTCTCTCTTTTTTTTTTTTTTTTTTTTTTTTTTTTTGTCTCTTTGCATGGAAATTCTGTCATCCACTGATTAGACCACAAAATTTTTAGACACTTCAGGGACTTCTGGGTAGATTTCCCATTGCTATGTCTTTGCAAAGTGTAGAAACTGAGTGCAAATCAATTTAGTTAGAAAACTTAGAAAACATCTTGTCAGATCACAAGATGGGTTAAACTGGGTCCAAAATTATTTCTCAGAATCGTATGTTATTGTAAAATATTTATAGGCAGTGTAGCCCTGAAAACATCTCCCAAAGATTATAGTATGCACTTACAGTCCCCAGGCTCTTGTGGATAATCACTTTCCTTCTTCCATTTGACTGAAGAAAAGCATCAGGTACAGGATTTTGCAGAGTTTCAGAATAATCAGGATGGTCTGAAATCATGTGACCTAAGCTCACACATGCACAAAGGAATAGAAAAGAATTTGCTCTCCCTTCTCTCTGCTTTCCATATAGTCCTGTGTAAACACAGTGTAGCTCTTAGTGCAATCTTCTTTTTTAAGGAGAGATATGATAAAACCCAAGTTCTTGCAATGTTACATTGAGGCTAGCTCTTCCCACCTTTTATTTTTGGAGTAAAGGAATAGCCCAGGGTATTTTACAATTAATTGTCTTTTCTGTTTTATTTCCATCCTGGCACATCAACCCTTTGTAATTAGCTATATTCTCATGATAAGTTCTAGATATGTAACAACAAGTTGATTAGTATGTTAAAGGAGAAGAAATTCTTAATAAAAAAAAAAAAAGAAAGAAAGAAAGAAATGTTTTTCTAGTGTAAAGACTACAAATTATCCTACAAATGTCTTTCTTCAGCTCCTTCATAGCTGACAAAAATACATGAAATAGTCAAATCTCTCTAGCAGGATTCTGTGATATTTTTTTTTTAAGGTATGAAGTTAAAGAAAATACATTTTATCATTCAGTCAAAGGAAACACCATAAAGATGATAGCTAGTAAGTAGCAATATTATGACAGAAGGAAAAAGAGGAGGAAGAAGATTTGTAGACCTGCATTCATATCGCATGAAAGAGGGGATGCCATGCCTTTTCATCTACTTCTCTTTTTTTTTTTTTCTCTTGTATTTCTTAACCACTTTAATGCAAAGTCTTTTGTTCCTGTTTATGAAGGAGGAGAAGAAAAATTATGTCTTTATTCTCTCAAGCATTACACAGATCTTAACATAGAAAAAACAGTTCTAACTGTTGATTTACTCAGTAACATTCAGAAAAGTAAAGCTTTCTCCATTGGCGTTCTTTGTTAATTAAGTTAGGTTTTAAAGTACTCATTGAAAAATTCTTGTGCACTTATAAAGAAAAAGAGAGCAGATGACATATGAAGATATGACAGTACCCTGTGAACTGCCTGTATTGAAAGGTTCAAAAGCTGCAAAATTATCATGTTATTTTAAAATACTTAATTATGAGAAAGAAATATATTAAAAATATGAAAATTCACATTCTTGTTATCCAAACACTTAAATTTATCTTTCTGAATGCATTACTTACTAATGGTAATAAGTAAGTGTTTGGAAGGTATTGTAATTGTCTGACAGTGTATCAGATACAGACTTTTGTGGCTTGCATAAATTGATGTTTCTTTCTTGCAAGAAAGTAATAACAGTATAAAGTGTTTATTATATAAAAGACCTACAGCTTTAGGGTAGCAAGCTATGAAGCAACAGCCTGTAGATTTAGTTATATTAGACTAAATCTACTGCAGAATAATTAAAAGCCTGATATGAATTAAAAGGTGAACACTCTTTGGCTGTATTTAATAGTTTAGTAGACCATTGGACTCAATGTGATAAGACTTGCTTCATCAAGTTGCCTGGCTTATAACCAACATCAGCTGTATCAAGTTCTGCACATATGTAGTTATGTACATAGGTTTGCACTTGTGTGACCAGTGGGACCATGATTAAATGTACTTGTTTTTCCATAAATGTTATGGTTGTAAAGAAAAGGATATGTATTTTTTCCCTGTGGCATTCATTGCATTACATTTTATTCTTATCAGGTGTAACTAACTTTCTTTAAAATATACACCACTGCAATATATGTTCCCTGTGATCTCTTTAGGTTCTCCATATAGAGACAAGATCACTATAGCAATTCTACAGCTGCAAGAGGAGGGCAAGCTCCACATGATGAAAGAGAAATGGTGGAGAGGCAATGGCTGCCCAGAGGAGGAAAGCAAAGAGGCCAGTGCTTTGGGAGTTCAGAATATTGGAGGAATCTTTATTGTCCTGGCAGCAGGATTGGTGCTTTCTGTCTTTGTGGCAGTGGGGGAATTTTTGTACAAATCAAAAAAAAATGCCCAGTTGGAAAAGGTAAATATTGTCTTTTCCTATTTCCGTATTTTATTTATGATCTAGTTAAATAATATTTTAAACTTTTGGTAGCCAAAATGTAGGTGCATTTTAATTGTTTATCATATAATACAGTATATAAGAAAGGATCACAGCAAAGTACCCAAAGGTTACATTTACAGCTTTTAATTTGTGTTCAATATGTTTAATTGTAGCCAGCTTTCAGGACAAGTGACTATTTCTCCTCTTATTCAAGCCTGAAAAAAGACAGCTTTTTACTTCTGGAAGTTCACTGCAGTTAATTTTATGGATGAAGAAGAAATCCGAAACTGTAATGGGAAACAAATTAAACTTCAGCAGATAATTCTGATTTTCAAAAAAAGCAAAACTGTCTGTTGCTCAAAGCCAAAATATACAAATGTCTCTATAGAAATTTTCTTTCACATGTTTATACTTGAAAAGTTGTCCTGGTACCATCTGGAAAAATTTACATCACCAAGATTTTTTGTGGGTTTACTACTGATTATGATATAATGTCCTGTCATTTCAGACTGACTTGGTTTTGAAAATTCTAGTGTTAATTTGATCTCATCTTACAATTTTTGCAACTGCAATACTGTAATTGTGCCAACACTGAAAATATGTTGGGAAATTCTTAGGTGGAAATATAGTTTCTGCATAGTGAATAAATCAAATAAATCTCTCTATATGTATGTGCCCATATTTAAACCTAAACTCAAACTATATATTTTACTGCTATGATATATTCTGTATTTTAAAAATGGAGATGAGATAAGCTTTTTTTTTTTTTTTTTTTTTTTTTTTTGTGACCTATGGCAAGACCTGTATGTCTATTTAGTAACTTATTTAATAAAATCAGTAGTAAATCCAATCAGTATATTTGTATTTATATTTTTTCCAGATGCTACTAGTGAATTTTTGTAACTTGAATTATTACTCAGAAAATTTAAGATTTGTTATCACTTCTTTTGAGGCTACCTTTCAGTATGCAAATATCCTTTAATAAATAAATTGTTAAAAATATTTTTTTCTAATACGCACAAAGGCAGTGTGAGATCACAAGGTCCTAAACACAATGTGAACATGGGTATATTTGATTAAGTTGTTAAAAGCCCATTTAGAACCTATCCTTTATGATACTTTAGGGTGATTCCATTCTGTAAAAGTGCTTTTGAAATGTAATGTTTCTGAAATTAATTTATGAGAGAAAAGATAACTATTATCTAAGTACCCCATGCAAAACTATCCATTCCTAAGGTGGATATGGATTTCTTATGGACAATAATTTGGTTTAGCTTTTCTGGACTTTTAACAAATACTCACTTAGAAAAATAGTTTTGATAGTGATCTCATAACATCAGTACTTTAGTGTTCTGCAGGGTGTGAATATATAACTTGACAGTATCAGCATGTTGGAAGTTGTGTGAGGAAGTAAACAGAAAAGACTTACAGAAACATAACTTGTTTCTCTAAGCCCTATGGTTTGTTGTTGTTGCTATGTTCTGTTTTTTTTTTTTTTTTTTTTTTTCCTGTTATTTATTTGTTTTGTTTTTTGATCTATTTGCTTCTTTTTTATTCTTGTTTGTTAGTGATGGGTAGATATAGCAACAAGTGGAGATATCTGAGCTTTTTACCAGAAGTGTTTCATCATACATCAAGTATTGATGTAGTTTTAAAAATTAGGATTAAATCTGAAGCAGATGGAAGGACTAGGTCTTTTCACTCACCTCCTTCCTCATCTCAAATTTCTTCCATTGTATCCCCTCTCTATAACACCCAACTATGCTGATCTCAGGAGGAGAACAGTAAAATTTCTTTAGAACTTGACTTGTAGAATAAAACTAATTAATGATGACAGGACCCCGGCATGTGACCTTCCCTGAACCACCGTCACCTATTTTTCTCCCAGCATCCTGAGACCTCCATGAATGTCTTCTTTCTTCCTCTCCAGAAGTAGAAGATCCCCTTTGCCTAGGAGAGAGGAGCATTGCAGCAGCCAAAGGGGAGATAAGCAGGACTGTCATGTTTCCAATCCCTACATCTTTTCTGTTGTCAGTTTGCATGAGTAAATCATGCAAGTAACGCATTCTTGGCTTTCTCACAGGGAGGGAGAAGACACCTTTTTATGGTAACACTTATTGTTTCAGCCCTTTAGACTCAGATTATCATTCCGGCATTTGTATAATGCTTGTCAGCATTTGGAGATGGAAAAGATGGGGTTGTTAAGGTCCCATTAACAACCAAGGAAATGAAAGAAATTAGATTACTTCAGTTGCTGAATATATGGAGTACCCTGGGATATAAATGGACATATTAACACATAAGTCTGCATTATAATGCACAAAATATAGAGTTGCATTTCCTTTGTGGCAGTGGGGAAGCAATGCAGATTTTAAGTGTATAATCTAGATGATTTTTTAGTGTTTTAGATGTCAGCCCCCATCCTGGAGTGCACATGTAAACAGAGACATTGGTTAGTGTGAAACTGTTTGGAGGAGTGACGTCTCAAAAAGAACTGAGCTGAGAAAAACATCAGACAAAATTGTGTTATTTTCTAAAAAAACATTACATCTTGTAAGTAAAGTGACTCAGAATATCAATTCTCCTGATGTGCTAAAAAAATCTCCAGGAAATATGGGACACTAATTTTACTCCTTCTTTGAAACAGATACCAATAACCAGAATACCACCCCATACATCCATGCCAGCACAGCATTTTCTAGACATGGAAAAACTCCTCTTTTACTGACACCTTTCAAAAGTGAAGATTATTCTGGATGTTATCACCATTAGGCTGTTAGTCAGTAATACTTACTATGGCAGTTTGTTTGAAAAATAACTGTCCTAATTTGCCAGGTATTTTCTAGAAGATTCAGATCTAAAAAAAAAACTAAAATTTGCTACCATTTATAGCCATTCAGAATTCATTGAGACATCAGCAGGTCATACGTAAATCTGCTTGGGAAAAAAAAAAGCATATGTACATTTTATTAATCTTGATCTGTTAAGCACTTCAAACAATGTGAAATGAGACACATATCAGCATTCTGTTTGTTTCCTTAGAGGAGATCTGGTCAGAGGTTCCCTATAATACAAAATACTAGTTTAAATCTAACAATGAACCAGTAACACCAGCAAATTGTTTCTGGAGTTATACAATCAAATTGTAACATAAGAACTAGATAAATTAGCCTCTCTGAAATAAGTATTCATTTATAATTGATTATAAAAACAATAAAAATAATAAATTGATATTAAATTGCATTTTATATAGATTTCCCAAGGAAGATAGGAACAATTGAATGTGCCTGTGTAAATATTTGTCTGCTCAGCTACACAGCTGAATGGAGAAAGATTAGTCTGGATGGTTTATCTCATAGGTATAGTGAATGAGTCCTTAGCTGTTTGCAGCATTGGACCCAAGGCACACATTATTGATTGTAAATATACATGTGGGTTTCATACGGTGTTTTACTTGCAACTGCAGATTCCACTGAAGTAACAAGAATTTTTGAATGCTTACCTGTGAACTGTATATAAGACTAACTATATCTCTGAAGATGACACAAACTTAACTGGTTGACCAAAATATATAATTTACATAAATTTCAAACACTCACCGAATAAAAGAACCATGTTTTGGTTTTGATAATATAAGGATAGAAAGAATAGAAGTGCCTGATCTTAGCTGGTTCAAAATGCAGTTTTACTGGGCTGCAGAGGCATTAGGTTATGGTAGTATTCATAATTTTTTTTATTTTTTTTTCCATAATTGACAATAATTCCATATTGTTGTCTGTATACCTCAAACACACACTGTAGTAAAGGGATAAAATGTATTTTGAACTATATAATCCCACTAATCCTGCCCAACACCTAGTCTCACTGGTTGAGAGGGAATATTAGGAATGGGAAAGCATTGCCCTTGTCTGGCAGAATTGTGATATTCCAGTGGACACAGTGGGAAGGGTTTGGAGGAAATGGCAGTACTGAGGCTGTCCCAATTGCATTCCTTCAGAGTAACCACAAGATGGTGCCTTCTATTTTCTCAGAGGGAAATTTAATTGTTACTTTTTAATAGAATTTATGTCACAATGCTCACTTTTTTTTTTTTTTTTTTTTTTTAATTGCAGCCTTTTAAAAAAATGCTGAAGGCTTGTACTCTTTGCTATTGTTTATAATACGAACATCTAATTATGTCAACTGCTTAGAAACATGTTATTAAGTAGAGCTTTTTTATCCAGCCAGTCTTGACTATAAATGCTCTGCCATTTGCATTTTATAATTGCTTTTGCTGGTGAATGACCTGCTCCCTGATTTTAACAGGCACTCTGAGGGCAGTGAATAAGCACATTAGAAACAGAAGCCATCTAAAACAATTACTATATCCTTTTTGTTGCTGTTTTTCAACGTGTCATGGATTTATGTACATTTTATACATTTATTTTTGTACTGATCATATTATTATCATAAAGGCCAGGGAAAACATTGGCATGTGGACCATTAATATTTAGCATAATATATTAGTTGATGGGTCTCAATTTGAGAATTTCTTGACCTTTCCTTCATTTTCATTAAAAAAAAAAAAAAAGAAAAAAAAAGAAAAAAAAGTTCTCTGAGATTTATGAGATTATCTGTATTTTGACACCACCTTCACACACAATGGTCAGGTAGCTACTACTATAACTGTAAGCCATTTGGTAGAAAGTACTTGTTCACTACTGAAAACTTTAGGATAAAGTTCACAGCATTACCGAAGACAGTGACAAGTATATACATAGAACATTACATTTGTTACCCTTGCAAGTGGTTGCACCTATCCTGGACATGGTTTCTTTAAAAAAAGGTAACATAGGCTTGAAAAGTAATCTTGAAATTTGTTTTTATTGGCATAATGGACCCACACCTTTGCAAGAGGTTGAGATGAAGAAGCTGTTGTGCTGTAACCACTTACAGTTGATTCTGTGTCCTTATTGTTCTTTTCTCAAATGCAATTTAACTGTTCTTGATTTGTTTAAATGAAGTTAGTGTAAATGCTAACATGGGCTTTATATGTCAAGCTCTTTATCTATTGTCTGCATCAGGATAAATTTAATTCATTATGACTTAGAATGGCTCCTCTTAGAATTGATATGAGCAAAGTGCATACATGTATCTTGTCTTAACCAGAATGGTCTTTCAGAAAGAAGTTAATCCATATTGGAATATTGTGAATGTTTCTTTGTCAACAGGATAGTGGAAAGTCAGTATTTCAATTTCTAAGTTATTGTCCTAACAAAAATGTAAAACAACATATTACAATAATTTTATATGAAAAAACAAAAGATTTTTAGGATCCCTTCTTACCTAAATAGATTTTAAGATCTCTTCTTATTTTACCACATATTTTTATTATTATTTTAATAATTTAGTTTTCATTAAAGTCCTTCATAAAAACTGTAGTGTTACTGGAGTTCAGAGAATATTCCTAATAGTTTAATATCAAAAGCTTTTGATATTTGGGACAGTAGTTTATAATAGTTTTGGGGCAACCCCAGAGTAAATTCCAGCACAGAGAATTTTTTTCCCCTTTCAGAGAAGGAAGTTCATTTTAAAGTTGAAAAATGTGTTACTCAGGTTACAATAATAAATAAATAAAGATATTAAAAAATAAATAAAAATATGTGGGAATTAATGGTAAATCAAAGTAAAAGCTTTGGGATTTATATCCCAAGTAACTTATACAACATAGAGTCAGTGATGTCATCTGTATTACCATGTCATATTTTGTAATGGAGTAACCTCAGAATTTTTAATGTTGGCTGGGAGAAACAGCAGTAGCTGTGACAATTCATAGGAGGATTTTTTTTTTTTTCAACTTTATGCATAGATATGCACATATGCAGTTAGAAAATTGGGAACTTCTATCATCCTGTGCTCATCCTAGTGCTCATTCCACTGAGCACTATATGTGGATGTATAGGCTTGTATTGTTTGTGTGTGTGTGTGTTTGTTCAGATTACTTGAGGATGAGATATTAACTATAAATAAATGCCCTCATGGGAAACCACCTAGGTATGATCTTCTAATGGCAAGAACTGTTAAAAACAAAACAAAACAAAACAAAACAAAAAAACAACACACACAGAAAAATGTCTTCTATAGAAAAGGGTAGGAAAAAGAAATTGAAAAAAGGTCAATTCACTATGTCATTTTAAAAATCGTTTGCAAACAATAAAACATTAAAAACGAGTTTTCTATTTTGATTTTTGATTGTAGCTCAACAAATATCTATTTGATAGTGGACCTTGCTACAGAGGTATTTTGAATTTCTTAAGTGGGATCATTCAGGAAACCAAGAACCAAAGACTGGAAATGTACACAGAAATGCCCACTGCAAAAGCAGTGGCAATGTGATTTCAAGAGGCTCACTATCACTCCAAGGATGTTCACCTGAAACTACAGGTTTCAGTTATAGGATATTTTATGTTTGGCACAGAGAATTTGAAGTTGTATAAATATTGTTGAGAAACTTGATGTGTCATTTATTTTATAGCAACTACTCTTCACTTCCACTCTTCAGTAGAAAGAAGAAACATTCAAAGTATGTAATTATTGGCTCCCCTGATTTTTTTTTTATTTTATTTTTTAATTCTCAAGGAAAAAAAAAGTCATTATAAAACATTTATGTATAATTTTTCTGTGTTCCCCTAAACATTACATTAGTGTGTCACACCTACAAATATTTTAGTATATAAATATTAGTATTTGCATTTTGAATCAATCAGCTATATTATAGCTAAATGTAGTATAAACATTTAACAGTAATATCAAGATATTTCACACCTACATTTGAATCAGCAAGCTTAAATGAAAGTTTAGTTCATTAGAATTAGGTTACTTTCACTTCAGCATAAGCCAGCAAAGCAACAACAAGCACTTCCATTTATTCTAGACTGCCAAATGAAACCATGTAATTAAAAAGAAACTGATGCTAACCATTTTGATATTATGTAGTGCAATGTGATGATAATCATGTTTCTAAAACTGTAGAAACCATTGGCATTAAATTAATACTAATAGTCTCTCTCTGTTCAACATGATTTGAGGCCATGCCAGATTTTGTGTTAAGTTTATACTATCACACTGAACTATAAAAATAGAATGTATTTTTATAGTGAATAATGTACCGTGGATTTAAGCTCGGGCAACATTAAAAAAAAAAAGGTGGTTAGATACAGACATACTTGGCCAAATTGTATGGATTTTCTAAAATGGCTCTGTGAGATGGGCTGTTTATTTTCAAATTAAACTATATTGTGATACATAAAACATTTTAATCCAGATAGATTTATACTCCAAAAGACCGATCACATATCATTATCACTTCCTTTCACCGTGCCTGAAGATCAACAAACCTGACCCTCCTTAGACAAACAGGAAATGACTTTACACTGAGGGTCAAAAATGATTGAATAGGTGAACAAACTTTCACAGCCAGTGGGTGATCTCATGTGGCTGATTTCAGTGTAATCAGGATCATCTCTGCTGAAAGTCAAAAAAGTATCCTACACAGCTGTGATCACAAGATATGGAACTTTTAAGATGTTACATTGGATATCATTCTAAATCAGATAGGCACTACTGTATATGCCATTTTCTCGGTGCCATTTATATGTCTGAAGTGGTATGAATTGGTATCAGCAGTTACTGAACATCTGGTAGTCATTTGTAGCCGTTGTTCCAGGGAAGTTCTAGGGACTGCACCACTCCATTCTGGAAGAGGACCTGGACTGATGTGGCAAGCTTTACACCTGCAGAAATTATTGCCACTGATCTAAACCCAGATGTCAAACTGTACTTGCCACTGATCCAGTTTGGAAACACAGACCCAAATTCATGAACCTGGAGAGAGGCTTATAAGCCTCTCTCACAAGAGGTGGAACTGAGTAGTAAGGGTAGATGATAACTTCTGAATGTTTCCCTTTACTTGTGCAACATAGCACCTATCTCCGTGGGAGTAAACTTGCATCATACCCCTATTGCAGCCAGGTTCTGGAAGCACAAAATGACTGCACCATCCTGGTCTGACAAGAGAATAGGACTGTGAATCATCTGAATGCTGATGACACCACAGCCCAAATTATTTCATTATCTCCCCAGTGGCCTCATATACATGTTAAAAGGAGAGATGACAGGATGAAACCTTGTGGAATCCCGCATGAGAGAGAGCCCTCGGGGCTGATGAGCAATTACCCTATGCCATCCTCTGGGATTTCTCTGAGAGGAAAAAGTGGAACCACACAAGTGCAATCCCATCTGCCCCAGCCTAGGTCCACAGGTGAGTCAGAAAAGCATCATGATCAGCACAATGGTCAGAAAGGCTGCTGGCAGAAGCTAAATGAAGCCACCTTTGAAAAAGCTTTCTTCAGTGATATGAGTACCCTATCAGCTTCAGGAGCTAGTGTAGCTGCTAGGCTGCACTTAGGCTGGAAACCAAGTTGAATGGTTTCAGAAGACTTTAAATGGAGTCAGAGTTTCTTTACAAGAAGTCTATCTAATTCGCCAGAGTATGTTATTTTGTCAAGGAATATATTTTAGAATTGTAGAGTTACTGAATTTGGATTTTGGACATGAATTGATAACTTATTAAGTAGGAAATTAGGTAATTTAAGGCAATCTGGAATTTTTTGTCCCAGAGAGATATTAACAGTCTGTGCTGGAAGAGTTTTTTTTTTTTTTTTTTTTTTTTGTTTTGTTTTGTTTTGTTTTGTTTTGTTTTTTTGTGGTAGCGTGGATTGGTGTTTATTGATTGGTTGGTTGGTTTGGACCACCAGTGAGCTGGACCAAACTTATATAGTATATCACTTATAATGTATGTCACATATAACGTATATCATGTATAATGTATATCACTGAAGTTCAACTCACAACTCTAAAACTCAGAAGATTATTTCAGGTTGTAGAGCTGTTATTTTGTTGCAGAAAGTGCTGGTACCATCAGTCTTGTTGATTCTCTCCATAAGATAGCTAGAAAAGTCCTTGAAACAATCATTGTTCAAGTCAGTTCCAGTGTGAAGCACATCATGCTTCACCAGCTGCCTGGAACAATTCTAATGTTCTCAACATCTTAGAAATTATGGTTAACTTACTTTATGGAATTATATTTTTAATTATATTTTTTATTTTGCTAGATTTTGATGTCTGTGCTGATGACAGGTGATAAAATCTTCCATATATTTTGTCCTGAAACTAACTTAAAACGGCTCCCAGTTCTCCTCCTACCAAAAAAACACCAATTGCTAAAATGGAAATTGACAACATATTGGTGATATTTTCAGCTAATTGATGTGAAATTAGTTTTCAATGTACCTGTATATTACACTTGCTATGATTTGAAAATATACTACATCAGAAATGTGTGGAAAAATATTTTTAATATAACCATATTATGTATATATAGATATTATACATATATGTGTGTGTGTATGTGCATATGATTTTCATTATAAAACTAGGTATACAAGTAAGTGAACTAGAAATCTAATCTTTACAATTATGCTTTATTTTAAAAAGTGATGGTTCAGCTACAGTTGAAATATGGTCTATCTTTCTCCAAGTTTATTTTAATTCTATTAGTTGCTCATCTCTTTGTGATTCTATGTAAAAATTCTTAACATTTGTTGTTCTGTCTAGGGCTTTAAGATTGACAATTTTTTCATATACACATTCAGAATCCCTGGCATATGGAAGGAGAAACAGATTAGAAGGGAGGGTCAGGGCAGAGCTATGCACTCAGTTTCAGTTAACTTCAGGAAGATGAAAAGTGTTTTGATTGATATGTCCTACTAAGTGCTAGAACACTGACCCATAACATAACAAGAATATGCAGGATTAGGGCTGCTACTCCTTTAAGAAAATTTAACAAGGCTTCAAATAATATGTGACGTGCAAGACTGGAAGTAATGAATTTCTGAGTAAATCTAGTTTTGTACAGAATATTGACAGCCAACTTTATATTAAATCCATTAAAGAGGAAAAAAATAATCTATAAAAGAGCATACATTTGGAGACTTGTATATTTAAAACAAACAATGTTATTCACTTAACTCAGAATGGTAAGAGCGATGCAGGTTTGCCATTCCTATCTTCTTGTTTTGCTTTGTAGGACATTAAAAGTAAAATTTATGATGGTAGTATCATAACTGTGTGTCTAACATGTTAATATGATTTCTAATTACCTTTCTAAACTCTAGTAGTGTAATGAAAACAGTTAAATATTGTTTAGCTTTCTTATTAATATCTACATGCAAAGATACTTTTTATTTTTTTTTATAGTCTGTAGTCATGCACAAGCTTGCTAGTAAATAGATTGTAAACAATTATTACTTTCTGCAAAACAGTTATCTTGATTCTATGTGATTTGTGAGCTGTCAACTGTGACAAAGAATGAAAGAGGTATCGGTTACTTATTCACACTTAAGGAGATGAGTTTTTTTCAGAATTGCTTTCTGTTAAGTCTAAGAACTGTTGATTAAAATTAGCTGCTGATTAAAATTTTCTTCTGTGAATTCTCTACTTAGAATTGTAGCCCTATTTTCTAATGTTTTATAGTGTTTGGTACCACAAAAGAATTGCACTTAACTGCGCTTGTGTTCAGAGATCTGTATGCTTTCCTTCTACTTTTCTTCTACTATCTGACTGTGTCTAAGGTGACTTGGAGGCAACATTACTTTCTGGTAGCATTTAGGAAGACAACGATATTTTGTAAGGGTTGGTAAAAAATCAGTAACAATTGATGTTCTTGTAATGTGCCTGCAGTGTGGAGGGTAACTTGGGGCAAAAGGTTATTTGTTTTGCATTAAGAGAAGGATCTTGTAATATCCATTAGAAGAGCTCATTTTCATGGTATACAGTAATTTCTGAAATACAGTCCATAAATTCTATAAACTTTTTGCTGTTTTTCCCCTAAAAATGGTTAGATTATATCAGTATTGAGATATTGGATCATATTTTCTAAAATCATGCCTGAATTTATCTACCCCCCCCCAAAAAAAAAAAGTATTATAGAGATGCTTCTGTATTTCACATGTTGTTATTCCAAAAGGTATATTCTCAAAGTGTGAGAACACAAAGTTTAGCTTTGTAGAAAATACTGAATGTACTCAGATTGGAATCAAAAAGAGACAAGAAAATATATATTCAAATAACAAAGGTCAAAAATGAAGTAATTTTTTGTAAACCTTTTTGAACATGATTTTGAAATATGTGGGGAAAACGCTTCCATGTGTCATATCTCTTAGATAGAACCCAAAATAAAATAAGGATCCAAATCACGAAGTTTTACATAACCTTGAACTCATTTGTTTTTGTTTTTGTTTTTGTTTTTGTTTTTGTTTTTGTTTTTTAAATAGATGGTTATTTCAACAACTGAAATTTGAAGGAAAAATATGCATTTTTTTAAAATGTTACCAAAAGATGGTACTGTTTGGGAGATAATAATGTTTACTGTTTCCAGACAAATTAAATTTTAAAATACATACCATACCTAAAAAAACATACTAAATGAAGTAATTAAATCATATATTTCAAACAGTGTACACAGACCTTATACAGCATAATTTGAAAACACAGGATGGAATAATTTTCTAGATAAAATAATTATCACAAAATTGTGTTAACTGCCTTTTTAAGACTGTCAGTTTTGCCAAAAATTCTCATTTTAGGGAGTGGAGTTCATGTTAATGAGTTTACAAATCCAAGTAAAATTTTCAGATAAAGTATTTTGCTAATTTTCTTGAGATCTTGTTTTCAGGATATTTCAGAACCTTGACATCAAGTACATGCATCTTCTTACTTCTTGTCCATTGCCTGTAATCCAGTTGATACTGATAGGGTCTAAAAGTTGATACCTTTTAATAAGTGTGTTCATTTCTGTGCAAAAGATTTTGGTGAATTGATCTTGGGAAGGATTCACTGTTTTACCACTTCTGTTCGATGTCTTGGCAGGGAAGGCAAGGGATAAAATCTAGAAAGTGTTAAGTGCTAATGAACCGTTTTTAAGCTTCAGAATTAAGTGCCCAAGAATGTTTCAGTTAGGTCTTTAATTGTGAGAGCCATATAATAGCTGCTGGTGATGAAACACTGAGTGTTGTGGCATTTGTTTTTTAATGGATTATTTGTGAAATTCATAAGTTATGTGCTATGTTCTACACATAGTGAAAATGCCAGGATCTACAAGCCTTAGCAATTTCACATCTGAGACATTAGGGAATACCAAATTAAATCTTGCAATTTCTGATGATTTCAGGATTAATCTCAGTTCCATAATCATAACTGCAGTTCTCATCTTAAGCAACAGCACTCTTTAAAATGAAGAAATCAACAAGAATTGGATGTTTCCATTCAAAATACAGCTGGATAAAAAGGAGATACAGTTTCCTGCTTTCACACAGTGCTAATCAACAATACCTTATTCATGAAGATTGGATGCATTATGGCTCAGAGTATTCATTTAGAAATTTTAGCTAACATATTCCCACAGTGAAAGCCATAAGTGTCATTTTTTATCTCATCCTAGTGCACAGGAAAATTTTGAAGAGGGATTGTTAATGAGTGTTCATTGCAGAACTTGCTTCATGTAGCCAGAGGGAAATAATTAATTTTGTCTTAAACTTTAGCCTCTGAAGGAGTTATGCCTGACCAAAGAGAAAGACCTTCCTGTCCTTTGGATTTAAAACTTCAAAATTTTTTTAGTTGTAGATGGCTAAAACCTTTAACTCACAAGCTGACTAAGTGTCAAAATTTACTTCAAACTCTTCTGGAGAAAAAAGTGTTTGAAAGGAAGGAAGGGTACCACAGCCAGAAGATTACCATTTCCTTCTCTCTTGCCTATTACCCTGCTCATGCGAAAGATTAGAGAAGAGAGCATTTGTTCAGGATTTGGGGGATTCAAGTTCAGTTCTATCCCATGTTTGAGACAGCTACCTCTTGCATTTTATATTTATTTTTCTACTTTAAACAGAATTTTCTATAAAAATATTAAACATCACTGAAACTCTGCCACTGAGTGCCCCAGTGCCTGATCTCCAGAACTGCCTGCACTCTCTTTCCTTCCCTTTCTCCCTCTCTGCCTCTGTTCACTGCTTCCACGTGAAATGGAACAAGATCAGTAGGAGGAAACTGCAAGTGTTTTTACCCTGACATGGTCTAATGTCTTAGACCATGCTCTGCTGACACACACTAGAGTTTAGATCTCTCTCTGTCAGAAGATGCTTTTGAACTGACACTCTCAAATGTGTCTCAAGTTCAGATCACATGCTCCAGCTGATGAACAGCTGCATAGAAAAAGGTTGCAATGTCTGCCACATGTCCTTTAGCAGTTGCTATATTTTTTGAGAAACTTTATTTGTTAGGTCACTTCAGAGCACATCAACTGAATCATGGATTTTAGCCATGGAACACTTGATGATCTGATGGGTTCTAGAACTAAACCGTGTTTTAGCAGAAGTTCTTACGATAATGGTCAATTGACAAACCTGTAATGTTTAATGTGGATAACAGAGTACTTTACTACTCAGAATGCCTTCAGCCCTTGAGTCCTCCAAAGAATTAGGTAGGGTAAGGTGCTTAAATGCTTTCTGGACCTAATCTCCAAACTCTAGGTTTGTATGAGCAGTGGAGATTTAACAGTTTTGACAGTTCTTGAGTCAGAAGAGAAATTAAATGATTATATATTGATTGCTGATCACTAATCACAACAAGTCAATGATCAACATGTACTTAGTATAATTCCAGGCACTATGTCTTCCTTCTTTAATTTTTAAAATAATTTTGTGGACTGTAGACCATTTATTAAGAAACCAAAATTCAAAGGATTAGATTATACTTTGTATTTGCATTGGGTAAAACGATTTGTCAGAGGCTCGTCATAAAATCTTGGGCTTTGGAATTAATTATTTGATTAATATATTCCTCCATTAGTTGGAAAACATTTAAGTTAAAGCATGTGTTAAAAGTGAAACAGACACCCAAAATGGAGATTTCTCTACCTCCATATTTATTCAATACTTCAATTCTCAGACTGAGGAGGGGCTAACAGTGCAACGCCAATTCAGCAGTTGAGAATTCAGTCACATGAGGGTAATAAGGGAGATTTTATTTTACTTTTCAAATTTCTTGCACTGAAAAAAAAAAAGCTTTGAGGTGATGAAAAGATGTTTATAACCTGTTTTTCTCACACTATCCTCTTGGTAAAGATGGAATGAAACAAAATATTTTTTGCAGATATATTCTTCACAAATGATATTCAGTAGTGGAATAAGTGTTTAGATAAAGAAGATATTGGAAATAAGGAAGTAGATTTACTTCATTAAAAGGTCTGCATTTTAACAGTAGTTAAACAGGTAAATTTCCTACTCTGAGGCTTATTGTTTTGTTAAGGAACAGCTATTTAAACCATATGGAAATGAAATGTATTAAGTTGAAATATGGTAAAGGAAATTTTACTGAATACCTAATATACACGTTACATTCAGATACTGTCCTGTAAGGCAAAACTGTGTTAACAGAACATCTGTTTGAAATATTTTTATGTATCATGTGCATGCATAGTCAGTAGCTGGCAGATAAATAATTGTAGAGACAAGGTGAATTTTTCAGTGAGTCACTGCAGCTTGATAAGTCATTTTAATTATTATGCAATGCATATTTAAAAGATGGTAATTTATTATGAGCTCCAGGCTGAGACAAAGCAAACTTACAGGACTGACATGGCTGTGCCAAAGGAATGAATCTGCTTCTAGGCATTGCAGCTAGACATTTCTTACAGATGTGGCTCTTTTTTTCTTTTTTTTTTTTTTCCTTTTTTTTTTTTTCTCTCTCTCTTTCTCTCTCTCTTTCTCTCTCTCTTTCTCTCTTTCTCTCTCTCTCTCTTTCTCTCTCTCTCTCTTTCTCTCTTTCTCTCTCTCTTTCTCTTTCTTTTCTTTTCTTTTCTTTTTTTTTTTTTTTCTTTTTCCTCTATTTTCCTCTCTAGAGGTCCTTCTGTAGTGCCATGGTAGAGGAGCTAAGGATGTCTCTGAAGTGTCAGCGTCGATTAAAACACAAGCCACAGGCCCCCGTTATTGTGAAAACAGAAGAAGTTATCAACATGCACACATTTAATGACAGAAGGCTGCCAGGTAAAGAAACCATGGCATAGAGCTGG